TGAACTTACATAACATATGAACAGACAGATATTCTGTAATAGACTCATGTTTACTTGCATCAACTCCCAATAAGATAAAAATAAGCCATTGGACCACACGAGAAAACATAAAGATAAACTTCAATCAAATTCAATCCTTTGAAACATTTAGTAGAGTTGATATTAGATGATAATAACTTAATCTTGAATAAAAATTCATACTTTTCAGATTCTTTTGAGATGTTGGTATGGGAGTAAAGCATGAAAACAACATTCCAGCAAAGTCAAATTCTTAGAAAAAATTAACCAAATCAACAATTTAGTTTATAGACACAATTTTGCTGAAAACCCATTGCCTGCTAAACAATTTGCTATCATGTAAGTTCATTATTGGTAAAGAAAATCAATGAAGTGATGCACTGCATAAGCCATCATTTTCGACTATCCCCCATCTCCCAATTGCATCTCATTTTTGGAATAATCAGAAAACAAGTTTAATGCTATTAGCACATTCAGAACAATTTAGCCCTACAAAGTCTACTTCAATTAGTTATACCCATGACAGAGGCACCCCATAATCCTCTAATTTAGTTTGTCACAACTCAGATCCTATAGTTCTCTAGTATTACCTCCTCTAGAAAATTAAGACTCCAGTGGCTTGTTCAATGATATCAATGTTGGCAATTTTGGTATATGAATGATAGTATTCTTACTTGAAACATAGAGGGAAAAGGAAAAGATAACATAAAGCGTTTTCCACTGACCAGCTCATTCAGATTACAGAACACCGAAGCAAGGTAACTGAAAAATTTTAAATCCTGGCATGATAAACCTAGTCCACCTTCCCTGTGGCTCTGGATGAATTTCCACTATGTTTCAACTTATTTTAAAAAAAATTAGCCAACCTAAATGCCAAAAGAGCTGATATATTTGCTCATCAACCCTCTAAAAGTCATATACATATGACAGTGTGTACGGCTATTTGTTAATGTCAGTGAATATTTGTTACTATTCAATCATAGAAAACAGATTCAATATGTGAATTATCCAGTTGCCTACTGTCAGTGTCAATATTTTTGTACACAGCAAAAAATTAAATTTTTATTCCTTATTCCCTCTGACTCTCCCACTTAAACCATACGTTGGTGCAGTTGTGAACCATGAATCTATGCCTTGTAATGACCAATTCCCCGAACCATATAATAAAGCAGAAGGCCAGATTAAATACAAGAAAGCCCACCTCAAGAGTATATAATTTTTGTTTCTTCAACAGCGAATAATCTCTTTCCCCTAAGAAATAACAAAGGCAGTGGAATCGAGCATTTTTCCTTCCATTATATATGACAATGAACAAGAAAACTCCTAAACTACAGAATTTGCAACCATGAAAGAGGAAAATCCTGGTAGAAGACGCAAGATATGTGCTCTCATATCAATTATCTCACTTGACGATCAGTTCAATCTAGCCTTGGCTAAACACGTTATCCTCTTCAGCCTCACCAAGACTCATGAGCCATCACAGTAACAACCCCATAGGCATTTCACAAACTCGGTAAGGTCCAAAAACATATACACATCTAAAATTCACCTTAAGTTCCAACACATTCACACAGGAATTAACACAAACGATTTGTTGGCACTAAAGCCGTGCCCATTATCCACTTCAACTTCAATCATCTAACAGCATTTTAAAGCGATCAAGATAGCACAACCAGGTAATTATGTCAGAGATTAGCCTGTGACACACAAGACGTTGATCGAGAACACTAGTGTCCTCCCAAGAGACGCACTTAGAACGATGTTCTCGGCAAAGGCAACCGTGCGCTCGGCCCCTCAAATTTCGACATTGCCATTATCCACGATTCCGATTACAGATCCAAAGCGTACCATTACGCCAAGACCCAACCAAAAGCAGGGGAGAGGGAGAAAGGAGAACGTACAGTAGCAGAACCAAAGAGCGTCGAAGTGTTTGGTGCAGGACAACTTCCGGGCCTCCTGCGAGCTGCTGGTGGTTGGAGAGGAAGGCGAAGCAGCGGCCGCATCCGCCGCCTTCTCTCCTTCCTTGGCATCCATGCCGCCTTCTCCCCCTCTCCTCTTCAACCGTTTCAGTAGGTCGAGATACGAGGTGTCGAGCCGGTTCTAATTGCCCCACCTAAACCGTTCGATTGACCTGACCCGACCGGACGACTCCTCCTTTTGTTTTCGCAAAATTACCCTACAAATTCTTTATATATATATATATATATTTAAAATAAAAAATTTATGAAATTATCTTTTTATCTATCACTTTCGTGTCAATCTAACACACGTATTATGTTTTTCGTCAATACAATTAATAATATCAGAACAAATAAAATTATTTATTTTATTTTAAAAAAATTAAAAAATTAATATAATTTTTTAGATAATATGCTATAATTTCATAAGATAATTTGCAATTAGCAAAAATTCGATTATAGTAAAATTCTTATCATTAGCCATACAACTCGAGAGCTAATATAAGAACACGACCATCTAAATTAACAAGCAGAAGTCAATCCTGTGACTCGCTTGAAAGTTCACATCAATTGCACCGCCATCACGAGGAGAAACATCCAAATACGCCATGGAAAAAAGAGAACACCAAAAGCAAGAGGCCAAGAACCGAGTCCTTCCTTCTTGGATCCAACTGGGATCCATCCATGACAGCGAATGTGCTTCCCACCACATCCAGAATTCGGCACTGGACATGCGATTTTTGACAGGCTCAGTGGTCGTCAACGACGAATGCAAAAGACCTGCAACAGCATTGACTTGGAAGGCGTTGGGTAGCGTAGTCTTACGAGCGGAGCAAACCCCGCGACGAATCCTTCGACAGTGTCTTCTTTAGCCTTTTCCTCGTCTTCGTTGGCTCGCTCAGTCTCTGTGCCGGTGGTCTCTCTCTGGAATCTCATTCTTTTCTGCTTACCTCTTTCATGTCCCCTTCACAACGTCTCTTCCAGCGTTGAATGGATCGGAGAGACGAGGATGAGAGGGGGCAACGATCGTGAGCATACGCAGGTGTACCACCCACGGCCATGTCGCCACCATGGTTGCGGCTTTGTAGTTCCTGAGGTGTGTTCTTCCTGCCCTTCGCCTTGGGTTGGGGGGTGCGTCTTCCAGTTGTGATCCATGAGGACGGTGGAGTCGGAGTCGTGGCTGGGCCGCATGGGACTCGTGCGAGGGAGCGAGCGGAGGAATGGCGGCGCAGCAGAGCCGACGAAGGCGGCCACGGTCGGGGTTCTCACCTTCGAGGTGGCAGGGCTCATGTCCAAGGCCGTCCAACTATGGCACGCCCTCGCTGACGACCGCGTCGCCCGCCTCAGTGACGAGGTCCTCCGCCTCGAGGGCGTCCGCAAGCTTGTCTCCGACGACCGCGAGTTCCTCCTCGCCCTGGCCGTCGCTGAGATGACGGACGCCATCGGGTCCCTGGCCCGCGCCGTGGCCCGCCTCGGCTGGCGCAGCTGTGACCCTGCGCTGCAGCGGTTCGACGCCGCGTACGCGGATCTCGTCAAGACCGGAGCCGACCCACGCGGATTCGAGTACGCCGGGCGGAAGATTGAGGGAAAGGTGAAGAAGATGGAGGGGTTCGTCGCCGCGAGCGCCGACCTGCACAACGAGCTCGAGGTGCTGGCAGAGCTCGAGCAGGAGCTGCGACGGATGCTGGCCAACCCCGACGACAGCGGCCACCTACAAGGGAGTGTCGACGATTTCAAGAACAAGGTGCTGTGGCAGCGGCGGCAAGTGAAGGACCTGCGCCAGGCCTCGCTGTGGTACACGCCCTACGATTTCGTCGTCCGCTTGCTGGGCCGGTCCCTCTTCTCGATCGTCGGAAGGATAAGGCAAGTCTTCCGATTCCAGTTCGAGGAAGAAGCCACGGGAAAGTCCGGCGCCCACCTCGCCCGCTGCCACTCCATCGCCGGCTCCATGCCGCTCTCCGTCCATTGTTCGCACCTAGACGCGGTCCACATGTTCGCCTCCGGTCCGACCACCATCAACCGCAGAGAATTCGCAGGACAGTGTCTTCCTGCCACAACCGGCTCGCCTCCTCCCGCTCGGAAGCGCCAGAATTCTCGAACCTGGTGGCCGGTCCGCCGTGGACCTTTCGGTGACTGCATGGTTGGTGGCGACAAGCCCGCAGTCCTGCTGAGCTGCATTCCCATGGAAACAGCCCTCCGGAAGTCGATCGTGACGCCGCTGGCTCTCAACAGAGCTGATGGTGCAAGCGCAGAGGCTAACCTCGAAGGCGACATGGTCAACACCAATCTTTTCTTGTCCATGATCGAGCCCAGGTTCCAGCTGCTCATCGCTCCGGCATCCACGCTCGGTGGTGCAGCTCTGGCTCTGCACTACGCCAATGTGATCATCGTCATCGATAATCTCGCGGCATCTCCCCATTGGATCGGTCCAAACGCCAGAGATGACCTGTACAACATGCTAACGACGAGCATCAAAGCAGCTCTAAGAGCAAAGCTAAGAACATTCGCAAAGACTACGGCTTCGTCGGTCTGCGACCCAGTTCTTGCGGCAGAGTGGAGCGCGGCGGTAAGGAAGAAGTTGGAGTGGCTGGCGCCGCTCGCTCATAACATGATCCGGTGGCACTCCGATCGGAGCTTCGAGCGGCAGAGTCTGGCCTCGAGCTCTACCGTTCTCCTGCTGCAGACGCTCTATTTTGCGGATCGAAAGAAGACGGAGGATGCCATCACTGAGCTACTTGTTGATCTGAACTACCTGTGGAGATACAGGAGGGACTCGAACGCAGAGACCATGTCGAACCGTGTCAGCAGTAGACAATTTGATGGCTGCTTGCAGATACAGGTTGATGTCGATGCTTGCTCTGCAACGTAGGGGTTTTGGATATCTTTATCTGCATGGTTCATTCTCTCTGTAATTGCTTATCGATAAGAATCATAAACTGTAGTGCTCGCTAGTTGGATGATGATATGCCTCACCTAGCAAAAGACCTCTACTTACAATCCATCCATCATCAATAATGCCACATGGAAGATGATACTGCCACTTCCTTATCCCGGGATATTCCTGACATCCTTTGTACAGTGTATTCAATACTTTACAACTGAAGTATGAACAGCAGACAGGGCCGGAGCCTCCCTGGCAAACCAAACATGCAGGAAGACACAGCATCCATGGCTTACAGCCTCAAGGCTTTGACACATGATGATACAAGAATCAAGTAGTTCTCAGAAGGAATTGTAATGGCTCCGAGAACTGCTTTGAGATTTGACAATTAAAAGGATCAGCTGATTCTTCCTGATTGGTCAATAAGGGTACCGACTGGTTCCCCACAAAGTGCCCTCGAAACAATGCCTGGCTCTAATAAATTAAAGAGAACAACTGCAGATGTATATGGAACAGCAATATCAGCAACGCAAATACGAAAGCATCACTTTGTAACCCTAAGCATATCATCGACTTACCTGGTGTGTTGTTCTCTTCGCATAATTTCAATGCTGCCATGTTGATTGCGGTGAAACCTCTTGAAACCAACTCCCTAAATGAAATATGCTCAAACGCGTTGCTATTGCTGTTGCTGGAATGGCAACCATAAAAGCCATCTGCAGTAGTCCCTTTCAGAACAGCATCTGCGTGAACTGATGTGAGGCACATGTATTAGAGTTGATCACTAACGGTAATCACGAACCAAAAAAAAAAAGGAGTGCAAAAAGTTTGCTCTTTGGGGGTGGATGGTGGTCCACATCCAATGCGGAACACTACATAATCATGCCTGTTGAAACATACTTTCGGAGGCCCTCAAGGCAGCTGCAATGTCGGAGCTAAAAAGTTGATTTCCTGTTCCTCCACCAGCTCCACCAAATATAACAACTCTTCCTTTCTCAAGATGACGGATAGCTCGTCGCCTTATGTATGGTTCTGCAATCTCTTGCGTCAATAAGGTAGACTGTATCCGTGCCTCAACACCAAGATTCTCTAACAATGCTTGGAGCATTATCGCGTTCATCAATGATGCCATCATACTGTCATAATCCACATGCAAATAAAATTTAGCCAAAAAAGAACTTCAACAAATAAATAACCTTACACTAACATTGTAGGAAAAAAAAAAGTTGTAGAAACAGATGTATTTGTCTGTGGATATGCATCTAGCAGTGCTTTTGCAGTAGAGAACAGTCCTGAACATATATGGGAAGCAAAATTGCTATAAAAAGATCAAATAAGAGTTAACTAATGATGTTTTGCATGTAGACGAGACGACAGTCAATCTAATGACATTCTAAGTGTCGAAGGAATACAAACTCCAAGTAAAAAAGGATACCATCTTTATCATCCCAAGCTAAGAACATCAGTATCATCTCTCGTGTGACAACATGGTTCCAGACTAATCTATAGGTAATTAAACATGTCAACTCAAACAAATGTTCTCCTAAAATTTATCTTGCATACCTTTGCAGTTAGCATATTGTATAACTTCATAACATCAATTAAAATTCAAAGAAAGAAATTGACCAAGGAAGGTATTGCTTTTCCTGGACAACAAAGGAATTAGTTTGTGCCTTTAAACCAGTAGTAAAGTTTAACATTTGGTTCCATTTTAGGAACACAGAAATAGCAGATCAACCCAAAGTTCCACCATTCATACATGCATACGATAATACATGTTGGTTTGGATGCAACCACTGAATGCATTCACCACATGCAATATAGAATTACATATAAATAAGGTAAGATTATAGTAATCTGCGTCTTTCTTAATTTACATGAGTCTCTGACTACAATGGATTAAAAAAACATTTGTATCTTCCATTATGAAATGTTTGTTTGTGAGAGTTAATACAAGTGACATACAAAAACATACAGGCGGTATAAATTTTAAAAGATATCCTAGTATCTACATGCAAAAAATGATTTATCTTACACTAAATTTGTTTCATGGGTCATTGTCCAAGCTACTCTTGGGCACTGGATTAAATTGATTGCCTATACCACTAAGATTTTCCTGGGTCATTGATGAAGCTACTCTTGGGCACTGGACGAGATTGACCACCTATGCCACAAAGCTACTTAAGACGATGAAAATAATGCAAAAACTAACAGTATCAGGCTCAATAAAACAATGAAACTCCATAAATGGTCCAGGGAGTAAAGTGCTTCAGTTTAAGAATAAGGGAGCAAAATAAATACCAACCATGAAACAGGAAATGCATACCCTATTTGATAAGTTGTAGCCCTATCAATTCCAGTTGCAGCTATCCAAGTATCACCACAAAAGAAATTTTGACCTCCAACAACAATTGCCACCTGCAGAACACAAGGCAGGGCAGAAGGATGGAATAATAACAGATTGCGGGAATAGCTTCAAATGCCAATGAGACTCAACAGGAACTGATTGATACCTCTACACCGGCACGGTTGGCAATTGCAATTTCCTTAGCAATTAGCATAACCACCTGAAAAATGAACATAGTACATGTTCAATAAACTATGGGATAACATTTTTGCAATACAAAATGGCTCAGTCTATGATCAACCATAATATGCCAAAACCCCAGAATGCAAACAGTGGAAAGTGGTAACCTTATGGTCAACATTTTGGGGACCAGCTCCAGCTAATGCCACACCACTAATTTTCAAAATCACTCTCTTCCACCGTGGATTTGATAATGCCTTCATCTTTGAGTTAGTATTTACAATAACAGGGCCAGATGCAGCAAGGGGATATCTGCAAGGCAATTATCATCATAAGTGTACTTACATATTAAAAAAGAGAAAAGAACTAACAAAGTGATGTTTCCGAGCATCATGCCCCAATAAAATATTCAATCAGTAAGAAACCAAGGTATATAACATGCCAGTAAAAAATAAACCTTTTTTCTTAGTAATATAGTAACACTTTGCTTTAGAATTTATTTTTGCTTTTTGGCTTTCTCCAGATATGACATTAGAAAGGGCAGTTTTCAACAATCAGCTACGGTACTATCAGAAGCAGCATTGGTGCTGTGTTCACAAAAATCATATAAGATTACCTATCATTAAACAAATGAAAACTTGTGAAAACTGATTTGATCATTTGTGAATGCAGTACATTTTGGACACGTTATTGCTATTATGACCTATGACTAATGAACTTATCAATCTTCTTTTCTCGGAATGCCAACACATCAAAGCAACAGTTCACTAACAATAGCTTGTTGTTTGTACCGACGACATTAATATGGTCGAATCAAATTGTATTAGAAACTCATAACTCATTACTTTGGTCAGTGTGTGCTAGCTAGTTGATTATATTCATCACTTTGCTTGTCAAAAAATTGTATGAGAATCCTGCTTAGCATCACAAGTGATCATGACCTCAAACTTAAGTGTGAAGCTTCTAAGTCAAATGCAAACAAGGATATTTAACTTGATTAAAAAAAAACTGAATTCTCCATAGTATAACAACAATGATTCTCTTATAAATCTAAGAACTCCTATTGCAAAAAGTCAACAAGAACTAAAAAATCAATGAAACTAAAGTGAAACTTTTTCCTAATTTAGAAACTCAAAATTCATAGGTTTCTAGTGGCTTAATGACAAACCCTCTAACTAAAGGGAAAAAGAAAAACAATGCACGCCTAAATAGGATTCACACTACCACACAAATTCTGAAACCAATCCTGTAAAAAAAAGATGAATTCAACTAAGAACAATGAAAAAAACAGGAAATCTAACTGAAACTATATATATAACTATATAATAACTAATATATACATATACATATAATAACTATATTTAATCAATATAAAAATAATTCGCTTTAAAGTGAAAATTCTGAACCTACCACAACTTAAGATATTCATAAATGTCTCGTCACTCCTTGATTAATTAAACTACCTCTTGGCTACATACTAAAGATTGTTCTAGCATTTGTCGCCTGTACTAATTTAAGAAACTATTATTAGTTTGCCAATGACATTCAAATAAGAACTTTCTTGTCTAACTAACTCCCATAATGAAAACTCATGTTTGGCTTGAAGTTCCTACGACTCCTTTTTGTCAGTAAGATTGTTTTGCACTTTTTCTTCTTAGACCACAACTACATTGCTCCCTTTCGACAAACTATCTGAAATTTTTTCCCTCAATTTTCGGTTACTATCTTAAATTTTTTTCCCATCTAGATCTTACAACCACTGTCATCAAGTGCTAGATGCTTCAAAGAATCAAATGCCCCTTAAATACATCAATCCTTGCCACTGCAAAAAAGTCTGAACCACCTGCGGTAGGATGTTCCTCAAAGCTTCCCCAGCATAATTGCATAAAATTCACAAAGTCATGAACAAGCTTTGATAAATGGTTCCATTATGGAAGCAAATATGGGTCAAGAAAATGCAGGATTTGGGGTTGGAGAGAAGGAAGGACCTTTTGATCTGTCTCATGACTGCAGCAGAGCCACCAAGGGTGATGGATTTGTCATCATCTGGACCAGCCTTTGACGAGGACGAAGAGGAACCAACGAGCTGCTCCATCTTCTTAAACCACGGCCAGTGGCTTGCAGGGAGCCCGCCGCTACTAAGCCGCTGGCACTCGACCTTGTAGCGCTTCTTGAGGTTGTCGATCTTGTTCTTGCACTGCTCCACGCTCTTGCCAACCTTCTGCTTGTTGCAGCGCTCGCTGACGATGGTGGCCACGTCTTCCCAGTCCCTCCCCCGCAGGTTACCCCGATTGAGCTGCACGTACTTCTCCGTGTAGGCGTCGAGGAGGGAGCTAATGGCCGTATCGCTCCATTCCTCCCGGTCCTTGCGGTAGTCCCCCGATGACGACATCGGCCTCGACTTCTTATTAGCCGCCCCGCTGCTGTTGTAGCAGTAGGGGGACTCGCTGTCGCTAAGATCGTCGCGATCCTTGCGCTTCGGCAGGCGGTGATGAGGCTGCTGGTGCTGGGAGGCGGTGACGATGGCCCCCTTGCGCTCGGGGTAGTTGTCAGGATCGCCATCGTCGTCGCCACCTTCATCATCAGCGGCGGGGTTCTGGGGGGCGAACGGGTTGTCGTCGTCGGCGAAGCAGTGTTGGTCGTGGAAACCCGGGGCGGTGGGGCACTTGGAGGTGTTCGTTTGGCCAAAGGCCTCGCCGTAGCCATCATGGTCGTCGCTCCCTCCGTCGACAACGACCCCGTTCTTTCCGGGGTTGTCGATTGCGGCCACTGCAGCGGCGAGGTGGTGGTGGGGGCGAGGCTGGAGGGAGATCGGCGCCGGCTTGGAGGGCAGGTACCGTTGGGCGGCGGAGAAGGGGCCGGGCTGGGGCTGGGGCTGCGACCGGGCTTCGTCTCCGAGGAGAGAGAAGTCGTCGTCGCAGTAGGCCATGGCGGAGGCGGCGTTAGGGTTAGGGTTAGGGCCTCCAAATCCGGACGGGGGAAGGCCTCACGACACGGCACGGGAGGCAGACGACGTTAGCGAGGGGGCGACGGATCGCGAGGCCGAGGCTCACTTAATCGGGTAACGGTGGTAGCGCCCCGTGACTTGCCAGCAACGGGACCGTCACGCCCCGTCACGGCGCCGTCACATAACGTCACGTACCCGCACGTATGCGTGGGCCGTTGGGCCCATGAAAACGCCCACCTCCCGACATCGCTTCTTTTTCTTCTTCCTGTGCTCTAAAAATAGAAATATAATTTCCTTTCGAGCATTCGTAATTCAAATTCGTGATCTAATCAAAGAATGCTTCTAACATAAGGAATTACTATATTATTGAATGGAGTGGTACAAAGGCATTCGATGTTTTTTACGTAGAAAAAAAAACTAATACAAAATCCAAGCATTATATTACAAAAATAATAATCACAGATATATTGTCAAATGGTAAAAATAATATAAAAATTCGAACTAAAAATAGTTCCTAATAAGAGAAGAACATTTTTCCTATAAGAGATCTATTTTTTTTAAGAATTTAAATAAATATTCAGAATTTATAAATAAATCCTTTCGTTTAGTCTCAGCCATCTTTTCACAACCCATTCATATAACTAAAGTCCGCTGTACGTCCATTTATATATTAAGATTATTAAATAAGTCAGCAACCCCAAACTTTATTCCACATCGAGACGAAAAACATATTAATGGTAGTATGACAATATTTTTATTCCATTTAATGATCGATGTTATATAATTAAGATATTATAGGTTATTATTACGGTTCGATTCGAACATAAATCAAAAAATGTTGTGATAGAGAATATAAGACTTGGTAGTTATTATTCATCATGTTAGTATTATATCATGATCGTGATGGATGTTCGGGGTCAAGGTTCAAAAAAAAAAAAAATCTCGATTAAAATTTTAAGCTATCGAGTTTTCAAAATATCTCTCTATATGAAATATTCATAATAATATTTCAAGAAGATCGAGGGATAGTTCGGATCGATTATAAATATATTCGAAAAAAATCAATAGGCAATTTATGACGATTATAAATTATTCCCAAAACATCGATGATAAATTTTTCAAATAGATTGAAATCGAAATTAAACTAAGTCGATGGTTTATTAGTTTCAAATCAAATCGGAATCGACCCTCGATAATTTGATTTTTAGATTTGGGAAATCAAAATCGATGACAGTGGTTTTAAATTATTTTTATTTATTATAATTTTTTATAATTTAAAATTTAAATAAAAAAATTAACGATCGAATCCAAAACCGTCGATTTTGAATTTAAAATCAACCTTTTGTCGATTCATTTCTTTAGTTTTAATAAATTGAAATAGTTGATTCCGGAATCGAAACCGTTGATTTAGAACGTGATGAGGCGGTTCAGATGATAATATTGGAAAAGAGGTTACTCTAAAATTAGCGCTCCATGCCAAAGAAATATAGACGGAGGAATTGCTGTGGCGCCATGATTGCAGGCTCTGCACTGTTAGGGTGCGGCAGGGGGCAGAAGCCGAGGCGCGAGAGCATCCCCCCACGGTTTTGCTCACCCTTCGCCCACCGTTCTCGGTTACCGTCGGCAAATGCCAGTACGGGTGCCCACCACGCGGCCGAACAAGCCGCGCGCGCTGCCGCTGGATTTTTACCTCCGAAGCCCGTCGAATCGAGCTCCGCGGTCTAATCACGATGGCTCATGAGGTGTTTGCGTTAATGGCACGACCTTCGCAACGCTCGGGTATAGAAAGTCGGCATATTCCAAAGATGGGCGGGGCAAGCGGCGTGCATCACACGGTCGACCCATAGAATAATATATATCGGCGGGAATTGGGTCGGGGGGAAAGGCAGGCGAAGGCGTAGTGGGCGAACAGCATTAAAAGGAGGGCACCCCCCTTGGCTCTGCTGCCGAGTGTTTTCTCTTCTCTACGTCTCCGAGCGAACTCGACCTCCTGCGAGCTCCGATTAAGAAAGAAAGATGCATTCGACGAACCTTCTCTTGGAAGAGCCCATCAGAATGGTCTCCATTCTCCAGCCATCGAAGCCGGTACGTCCTCCTCGTCCTTCCAATATGATCCGTCAAAGATATTGGAACCAAGTCGATCAAAACCTGTGTTTGATCCTGATCCTTCTATTCCTTTTTGACACTCCAGAGTTTCTTTCCTGCCATGACCAAGATCGTGGGGACGCTCGGCCCCAAGTCCCGGTCCGTGGAGGTGATCTCCGCCTGCCTAAAGGCCGGGATGTCGGGTAAGCCTCGTGTTCTTTCCGTCTTACGTGATGCCCGTCTTGGTATTTGATGTATTGCTTCAATCGGCACTTGGGTTTGGTCCATGGACCTGATGAGATCCTTTTGTGGCAGTGGCACGGTTCGACTTCTCGTGGGGGGACGTCGACTATCACCAGGAGACCCTGGAAAATCTCAAAGCAGCTATCAAGGGCACCAAAAAGTTGTGCGCCGTAAGTCGTGCTTATCCGCCATACGTTCTTTTTTTTTTTGCAGTGGGTAAAAGCCCTACCAGTGTTTGATGGAAACACTTGTAGTGTTTCATATTTCACGTACTATTGATACAAGATATTGAGCTGCCAAAATTGCTGTAGTTCCCAAGACTTGGGTTGATAACTTATTTCGGCTATCTCTTTCTACTTATTATGAGACTCTATCCCCAAGTTTTCGTGTCACTAACCATTTTCTAATGTTTAATGCATTCTTTTTTGGAAGGGGGTGTAAAAAAACATGAACTTTTTGTTGTTTCCCAGGTCATGTTGGATACAGTGGGTCCAGAGTTGCAGGTGGTGAACAAAAGTGAGAAAGCCATCTCACTCGTGGCTGATAGTCATGTTGTTCTGACACCAGATCAGGAGCAAGAAGCTTCATCAGATCTGTTGCCTATAAACTTTATTGGATTATCAAAGGCAAGCAATTTCCTTCTTCATACCATGCTCATCCTTTGCACTCTGCTATCAATGGTGTTCTCTCTAGACTCTTCTTTTGCTTCATGCATAACTTGATACGGTCGAGTATTCTTGCTTGTATATTTTGTCTAAATGAGTACCTCTCTGACTTATTTCACTATTCTTGCTGTTACGTTACCCAACTTAACATTTCTTTGTTTTTCTTCACTTGCTCTGTTCGATGCTGTTTTAAACCAAACCACTAGCTACTCAATTGTGACGACCAAAGGTGATGCAAAAAGAATGGTCCTCATGTCTTTTACCAAGAGTTATTTAGAATACTTGAACATATTTGTGTCCAAAAATTGTATTGCCATCTTGTGTGATCATTTTTAGTTGTCTTACATTACTGAAAGTTAGAATTTAGATAAGTATTTAGAATACTTGAGCTATGGAGGCAAGTCTTAGAAATTAAAGGTTTAGATTAAGTAGGATTAAAACTGAATATATAAAATGTAATTTAGTGATTCTAAAATTTGACAAGAGAATATAGTTAAATTAGATGGACAAGAAATACTTTTAAGTAAATGTTTTAGGTATCTTGGATCATTTATTCAACAAGATGAAGAGATCAATAAAGATATTATTCATAGAGTAAAAATAAGATTGGTTAAAATGAGGGCATCAAGAATTTTGTGTGATCATCGGATATCTTTGTGATTAAAAGAAAAATTTTATAAGATAATTGTGAAACTAACAATGCTTTATGTATTTGAGTGTTGAGCAGTTAAAAAAAATCATATACAAAATGTTTGTGTTGTCGAGATGAGAATGTTGAGATGGATGTATGGAGTTACTAGGAAAGATAAGAAAAAAATATTTTTATTTGTGGACAATTAGGTATCGCATCGATAGAGAATAAAATGAGATAAAATCGTTTAAGATAGTATGAGCATATGTTGAGGAGACATTTGAATGTGGAGACATTTGAATGTGGTAGTCAGAAGAGATGAAATAATTAATATTAATGGTACGAGAAGAGTTTAGGAAAATCTAAAATGATCTTGATAGAAATTATAAATAAATATTTAAGTATTTTGAACTTAACTAAATATATAGTTTTTTACATATCTCAATGATGACAAAAGATTCATGTAGTCGACACCAAATAGTTAGAACATATAGTTTTGATGTTATTGTTACTTTCCCACTGGCCTTGAATCTTTGTTCTTCCATATATGCACAATTTTAAAGTTTTTTGACAATGTATTTAATTTTTTGACTTATCTTTTCGTAATTTACTGACATATACTTTAGTCTATTTTGTAACCATTCTAACAAAAATATACTACGTTGTTTTAAATTTTCATCGTGTTGATTTAATCAAGAGAATTTATCCAAAGGATACCTACTTATGTACCAGACGAGTTGACTCAATTGGGATTAGTGATACGAGGATAGATAAGGCAGGGCCAAAAAGGAGTTTATTAGAAATAGTAGAAAGAGATATAACATGTGTACATATTTCCTAGCTTCTTTGATTACACTATTCTTTATAACATAATAACCTTTCAAGGTCACTGTAGATGTTGAGTTCCAACGATTTATTTTGTTCATTGAATCTATAATATAGCATAGTTGAGATTTGAGGTCAAAATTCGTAACAAGCATAGCTGCGATTGAAGTGACAAGCTTTATACTTTTTTGCAGTCGGTGAAGCCGGGAGACACAATTTTTATCGGCCAATACTTGTTCACTGGAAGTGAAACTACTTCTGTTTGGTTGGAGGTATGGCTTTGGAGGCTTATCTGATCTGTTGAAGGGATAAAATATTGCATGGTTTGCAATAGTAATCTTGAAAATAATTTTTTATATCTAAGATTCTAAGCTTGTGAAGATTTGTTATCTTGGTTGCTTTTATTAATGAGTGTTTTATGACAGCTGGTTTCTTTTTCTTTGAATGTCTCTGCAGGTTGCTGAGTTGAAAGGGGATGATGTAGTCTGCATAATTAAAAACTCTGCTACTCTGGCTGGGTCACTCTTCACTCTGCATATCTCTCAAATCCATATTGATTTGCCAACACTTACTGAAGCTGATAAAAATGTAAGCCAAAAACCTGCATAACACCAATCAAAATTGCTGGAAGATTAATAAAAGTTCTTCTGGTATCTGTCATGTGAAGAATTCGTTCACCCATTGATTGATTCTACTATGTAAATCTTAACATGCTTTATAGAGCAACTATAAGCAACAGTAATGGTGAAGCTTGCTTCAAAGAATGGTTGCATGAGAAATGGAAAATATATACAAGCGGTGATAAAGAAGATGGGTTGCAGATGGGTTTGGAATGGAATTGGCATTCTTCTATTAAAATGACTTGCTTTTGTAGTCATGATTTCCCCCAGTAAATTTAAGAACCCTTGACACGTAGCAGAGGAGGTGTATCTAGTAGCATTTAGGTCCCAATTATTTTGTCTACTTGATTTCTATCGGCCCCTTAATGTAGGTTTTTTGATTCCTAGAATAATGCATATAGCTGGTGGTATAATGTTCTCACATTTGTATGATTATTAGTGGTAATCCTTTGCATGAGAAGTTTTTGTTTGTTTGGTTTTTCTAGTTGCTTATCCCAGATTGGTTACAATAGTTAACCATGCAACAAGGTTGAACTTGTGCTCAACTAGATTGAACTACATGGCGACAGATTGCCTAGTTAACTTTGTCTGCTGTTCTCCTCTTGATTGCTGCTGTCGATTATTTATTTATTTATTTATTGTCTTACAAGCATATTGAAAAAGCAACGTGTCTGTTGTACTCCACCCTCAATTAAGGAGTTATTATAATCCTCGAGAGTTACATACTATCGTTTAAGCAATTCAGGTAGTGGTTTGCTTGTACAAAATTTTTCTTCTGGATGACCTTGTTCTGTCTCATGCTTATTTAAGAAGATTTGGGTTCCATTCACTATATGGTCTATATTTCAGGTGATAACCACATGGGGTGTTCGCAACAAAATTGATTTTCTTTCTTTATCTTATACAAGGCATGCAGAAGATGTTCGGAAAGTAAGCTATTTCATTCACATTTATTATCTTTTGTTTCTCTTCTTAATATTCACTCTTATGGTGCATCAAAGTATTTAATCCCACCTTTCCTTTTGCAATTCATTGTGCCTGTTCTGATGCTCGTCTTTTCATTTATCTAAAAATATTCTGGCACCTCAAAAGTTGTTATTGATTGCAGGCTCGGGAATTCCTGTCAAAGTTAGGTGATCTCCACCAAACTCAAATATTTGCAAAAATTGATAACATAGAGGTTAGCTGCAAATAAGAATCAAGATAATTATAACATTTACATTAAAAATCTCCAAGTTGTGAGTAGGATTGCTCATTTGTTGCAGGGTCTTACCCACTTTGATGAAATTCTACAAGAAGCAGATGGCATCATTCTGTCACGTGGGAATCTTGGAGTAGATCTCCCTCCTGAGAAGGTTGCGGACTTATTGTTGCTAGTGTTGATGCACTTATCACTATCTAATTGTTGCACTTACTGACATTCCTTATACTGTGGGTAGTATTGTAGTTATTGCTAACCAATTATTATGTTTACATGCAAAATTTAATTGCATGTAACACACTAATTACATGTCTAATTAATTAACTTCAATGAGGTTAAAAAGGTTAGTTTATTGCATTTTGTATGGGTTTTATTACCTTGTTAATTCTTGATTATTAAACTTCAAATTGTTTTCTTTTCTTTCTGGATCCATAATTGCAAAATAATTTGCTGATTATAAACCTTAGTATTGGAGTTCTGCCTGTGTATTCTTAGGCATATGTAACATAGCTATGTGAGCATCGTACAGGATGTTGAAACCTCATGAAGAAATGTAGATATGGTTGTCCATGTATTTAAGCATGTTGATAAATTATTTTGATTCCAAGGCATGAGCACTCCTATCTACGTTTACATATGCTGTTCGAAATCCATGTTTTTGTGTCTGATTGTGGCAAGCTATGCGAGTTTGTCTATTGTTCAATCATATGCTTTGATTGTTACAACTGAGTTTTAATTAGAGAGTCACAGAAAGGGTGATCCTGCACCTAGAAAACTTCTTCGTTGAAATACTTGGGTACAACTTCCTCAAGGATATGAACTCATAACCTTTTCAAGACAGAGGAGAACCAACCATTATGATGACACCTGATTGGGGCTCCAATTAGTGAGATATTTTACTGACGTGAGAACTTCGACTCAAAATTCTGATTATTTTCTCATAGTTATGTCTTGCTTTGACAAATATGGACTCTTTGCATCCCATAGAGGTCCTTGATGTGTTGTTTGGTTAGTTAATGTGAAGATAGTGTATCCTTTTCTCTTTTTCTAAAAATGACTTGGGATTCTGATTGTTCGTCAACATATACAGACCCTATTAGTTCTCATTTCCAATTCGTCATGTTCTCCTCCAATTTTGAATTTACTAGTTTAGAGAACTTATTTTGGTACCATGGTTTTTACACATGTAAACTACAAACTTTGACATGACTTTGTGATATCATGAATGTTTGGTAATCATGAATATGAGAATAGTTATGTCAATAATATTAAGCAAATATGTAAATAATAGGTATCTGAAGCAAGATGAGTTTACTTATGTCCCACTTATGTCAAGGGTGAATTCTTCTGATGCAACTCACAGCTTTGAGTCAATTTAGATGAATGCATTAATATTCAGGAGGTAACTGATGAGTGTATACTCCATCAATTTTATTAAGAGCATACCTGGTAACATCCAAAGCAACAGTCTTTTCAGTAGTCTATTTTAGAACAAAAATGGTTAGTTGTGAAGTTGTTAAACAAGAGGGGAAGTGGGAAGAACTGCAGAAATTTTTGTGCTTCTTGGTGATTGTGTTTGACTTAATGATCATTCAAGATTGCAGCTGGAGAGTATCATCTAGTCATTTATTTTCTCTTTTGTTCTCTCAAAAAAAGAAAAAAACTATCTGTTTCTTATCTATGCTACTTCACTAATTTGGTTGATGCTAATTTCTGAGATTTGTCTGCAGGTGTTTTTGTTCCAAAAGGCTGCTGTCTACAAGTGTAACATGGCTGGAAAGCCTGCAGTCATCACTCGTGTGGTTGATAGTATGACCGGCAATTTGAGACCTACTCGTGCAGAAGCAACTGATGTGGCGAATGCAATACTTGATGGTAATATTCTTTTGCTAGAGGAAATTAATTGTCCTAAATTGTTTAGTCAATGGCCAAGTATTGTCCAGTTTATAGTTTATGATGCATGCATTTGTTAATTTGTTTCATGGGCTTATTCCAAACAAAATTTCAATAATTTTGATTTTTTCCAGGAAGTGATGCAATCCTTCTGGGTGCTGAAACACTTCGAGGATTGTATCCTGTTGAGACCATTTCTACTGTGGGTAGAATCTGTTATGAGGTGAGCCTTCCTTCATATTCCTTGCATAAGATCATTTTGAACATTTTGATTGTTAAGACCGAGATTGCAATTATGGAAGTTCTATAAACTATATGAGAAGTTTAAATGACAAAAGAAGCTTTTGATATGCAGCCTTCTTTCTCATCTTACTGCTATATGTGTTTTGTAAGTGGCTACTTAATACAAATCTTGAATGCCACTATTGTCCTTTTTATGTTGTTAATATATGACAGAATTAGTATGGAGATTTATGATCAGATTTCTGTGCTTGGAAAAGATTTTACATGCTTGGGTGAACTACAGAAAAAAAAAACCACTATAAATCTTGTTATTGAATATAAATAAATGGTTGTTGTGTAGCACACAAAAAGATTATATGTATATTAATTTTGCCCATCCAACATCCATCTTTTATGTTCTTGTTGGCAGTCATACACCTTTCTTATTCTGTTTATGTTATATGAGCTATAATGTTGTGTTTGAGGTAATTACAAATTGTGATGGTAAAAATTTTCTTAGTATGTGTGCATCTCTGTGTGGTGAAGAGTTTAATGAATCCAGTGTTTGATCCACATTGACCTGCGGGGGCAATTGTCCCCTAACTTTTAAAATAGGCATCTCTGGATCCACAAACCTCTTCACTTTTTCTTCCTTTGGTCATCATAAAACCACTTTTGCAGGCAGAGAAAGTTTACAACCAGGATTTGTACTTCAAGAAAGCTATGAAATATGTTGGAGAACCAATGACCCATCTGGAGTCCATTGCTTCATCAGCTGTATGTTTCTACCTTCCCTTTCTTGATCCAAGAATAATCAACTACTATCCAAAGAAATTTATTCATCTTGAAGCTATTATAAAAAAATTGTTATGTGATGATTTTCTATAGGTACGTGCGGCCATTAAAGTCAAGGCTTCTGTGATAATTTGTTTCACTTCATCTGGAAAAGCTGCAAGGTGCTACCTTAGTTGGGACTCGATTCACATGTTGTAGCATCTGTTTGCAGGCACATGCCAAAAGTTTCTGACTTGTATTGGATTTACTTTGTTCTTTGTGTAGGTTAATTGCTAAATATAGGCCCACCATGCCTGTACTATCTGTGGTCATCCCTCAGCTTAAAACAAACCAACTTCGGTGGAGTTTCAGTGGTGCTTTTGAAGTATGTTTAATTCGACCATGCCTGAGTCACTAAGTCATTGAGATGATTTGCAATAATAATATTTGAGGATCTGGTTTTCGTCTTTTATTTTCAGTTAATACAGTAATATTTCTGTCCTTTTGACGTGAACTTTTTTACCGTTACTTTCTTTAAGTACTGTGTATGGTTACTGGTTACTCATTGGTATGTACGATTGAACCTACACTAATGTAAGCTAAACATTGGCAGGCTAGACAATCTCTCATAGTTAGAGGCCTTTTTCCCATGCTTGCTGATCCCCGTCATCCTGTAAGTACTTTTACCTCTTATTAGTTTCTTACAAGCTTTAAGTTATTCCTTGTATATATGGTAGTGTGGAATGGTGCAGTTTTTCCTAAAAAAATTCTGTGTGAATCTTTTCTAAGATATCTTTCATTTTTCCCCCTATGAGTCATCTAATCAAATTGGCATCCCTCCACCCAAAAGATTTGGTGTTTTACTTATTCAGAGGAAGGATTTGAGCTCATCTCTGAGGATTATATTTCTTTAATTCACCAGAACCTTTAAATGTTAGTGCTGGAAATAACAAATTTGATGCTTTAATTGTAGGATATGCTGCATGTTAGATCATGATAATCCAGATGTTATAGATGATGTGGCTGAAGTGCATCCAGATTAGTTTACTAGGCTTAGGAGCAAGTGACAGATGCTAGCTAGGCACGGTTTCATGGGTGGGAAGAACGGGTTTCATGGCATATACTTTATTGTGATAGGGTAATCAAGCTGGGCAATGATTGATAGAGCTAATGAACTCGGAATCTTCCAATCAATAAAATTTTGGTTCTTCACAAATTTGCCTCAAGTTGTTGGGGGCAAAATTATTATGTTGCAGTCATTGATATCCTGTCTAGGAAGATAAAGTGCTATTAACGCTTACCTAAATCATAAATCTAATGGGAGATAATCCATAATTCACCATGGTTCCCATACATATATAACACACACACACACACACATTATATATATATAAAATGTCTGCAATTTTTTTAAGATCATAAGATAAAGGGATTGTACAATTTATAATCAATTGCTGCTTGAGAGGGGAAACATGGTGAATAACTAATCAGTTCTGATCAAAATGATCTTAAAATAAGGAGGCAATATTATCATAATGGATTTAATGAAGCTTATAGTTGTGGGACAATTGTTCTGATTGGAACAATAAATATGTTTATTTTCTGGGTAAATTATAATCCCATTTGCTTCTTAAACCTCACTGGTCCCTTTCTTTCCTCTAACATGCTTAAATTTGTTGTTAAACAATGCAGACTTATGACTTGTACTTGTGCAGGCTGAGTCAACTAGTGCCACCAATGAGTCAGTTCTGAAGGTTGCTCTCGATCACGTCAAGGCCTCTGGTCTGATCATGCCTCATGATCGAGTCGTGGTGTGCCAGAAAGTAGGGGATGCTTCCGTCGTGAAGATCATCGAGTTAGAGGATTAAAGAGCTGTTTCCCTTTCAAACTTCCAGTGCGCTGGCAGTGAGCTATCACTAATTTTGTCTTTTTTGTTTTTGAGAGTTCACCAAAGAAAACACAATTTATCCAACTATATCTATAGTTGGTAAGAGTTTTAAATTGGTATGCTCGTTAGGTTTGCGAAAACCAGTATACAAGTTGCATTTAAGGTGTATGCAATTGAGAAATTCCACTGTTTTTTTGCTGTAATATTGCGACAATCTCCTCTCTGAGATAGAGATTGTTGCAGATTGAAGTTATCTGGTAACATTTTTCTGAGATGGTTTAATCCATTGCCTTACAATGTTCTTGTCAGAGACAAATGTGACTACCACCTTTGGTCACTGATTCATTCTCTGCGGTTGTTAACTGAGAACGCACACTTGGTGTATTCTTTATTGAAATAAAAAAGAAGATCCTGGATGACATTAGCTTAGAGATGGTTAAATGATTTAAGAGTTGGGTTATGTTGGCTCTTAATTTAAGTAGTTTTAAGCTTTTGGGTTGTGGAAGTAATCAATTACTATATAAATCTGTTCCACAATGTTATTTTGGATCTGAATTGTGTTTCTCCCCTGTTCTTAGGAATGAGTTATGTTCCATAATGTTATTTTTTTGGATCTGAATTGTGTTTCTCCCCTGTTCTTAGGAATGAGTTATGTTCCATAATGTTATTTTTGTGGTTCTGAATTGTTCTTCTCCCCTGTTCTTAGAAATGAGTTATGTGATCACATCTCCTCCTTCAAGTGGATGTATATGAGGTATTCAATGATTCTTAATCTTGGAATATGATAGCTATGAATCCTTAACTTTATGTTTGGGACTGTCCGAGAATCGAAGAGTTTCTGTTTCCAAACATTTTAAGAACTATGTTTTAGTTGATTTTTCAGAGAATTCAATGCCATGGAGCTCGGCATTCTTTGTTGTGTCTCTCTTGACTCCTCCGTTCTATTACACCACCAAAAAGTTCAAATTAGCTTTAATTGAGAGAAAACTACAGAACATTGAGAGAAAAGAACATCATATTGATTGATCGGTGCAAGAACATACCATTGTTTGGAGGCACGAATTGTACACGTCAATTGCCGACGGCAGCGTGATCAGCATTCGATATATGCTGCTGCTGTACAGAGATTACGGTGACGGTGGAGAGCGCTCCGCCGCCGTGTACTAGTTCCAACTCCTTTTGCCGGAGGAGCAGCAGCATGCGGTCGTTCTCGAGGCGGAGGCGCTCGTTGTCGAGCTTCATGCGCTCCATCTCCCGCTCCTTGTTGGAGCTGAAGCGGAGCCACTTGAAGCGCTGCCGCTCGAGCTGGAAGGCCCGGCCTTGGTACGCCACCCGCTGCTCCTCCAGCTCCGTTGCCTTCCTCCTCAGCCACTGCTGCTGCTGCTGCTCCCCTCCGCCCGACACCGCCATCATCTCGGAGCGCAGCTGCTGTATGGAGCTGGATGACGACAACGTCAGCGAGTGCGGCGGCGACGCCGACATCTGGGAGGAAGCCCTCTTGAGCCTCTTGGCACCCGCCGTGAATCCCTTACTGTCCTCGTCCTCCTCACCCTCCTCGTTCTTGGGCTGCTGCTGGTGATGGTGACAGTGGCGCTTATGGCCGTGACCCTCCATGTCGTCGTCCTCCTCCTCCTCCTCTTCCTCGTAATCGTCCTCGTCCTCCTCGCTGTCCACGTCGTCGTCATCGTCCGCCTCTTCCGCCATGCCCTCCTCTTCAGCGAAGGTTCCTCTTCCTCTGCTATCTCCGGGAAGCTTGGCTGGGGGCGCTGCGGCAGGCGGTGGGTGGTGGAAGCAGATCTGCTGCTGCTGATCTGGAGGATGTGGTGGCGGTATCTGCGGAGGGGGAGGGGCGGCGCAGGAGGAGGCTCCTCCGGCGTGGTGGTACGCGCACATCTCGCGGAAGAAGAGGTGCTTGGAATTGAGGAGCTTGCGGGCCTCCTCCTTGGCCTTGGGGTAGAGGTTGTCCATGGTGTCGAGGAGCGTCTGGTTCTCGACCACCCGGCAGGCCGTGCCCTTCCCCAGGAGGTCGTTCACCCGCTTGTACCGCTTGTTGAGGTCGTTGAACTTGTCCTCGCACTGCTGCGGCGACACGCAGAAGCCATTCTCCATCATGGCCCGCGACACCGACTTCCACTTTCCCTTCTTCTGCAACAACGCTGACGACGCGGCGGCGGCCGCCGCCGCCGACTTCTTGCCCTTGGCGAGCGCGACGTGGGCCTGCTGCTCCCCCTCCCCCGCGGCGCCGCCGTCGTCCCCCACGCGGTAGACCACCTTGATGAGGAGCCGGATCATGTTGTCGGTCCACTTCATCCGCTGCCACGGCGAGGTCGACGGAGACGGCTGTGACACCCCTCCGCGGCGAGCCTGCTCCTCCACGTCCTCCCCGTATCCGGCCTCCTCCTCGGAGCTCATGGCCGGCTGCTGCTGTTTCCCCCGGACGGCCTGGCCAAACGCCTGCACGTACTGGGCGTGCCTGTTGGCATACTGCGCCTGGTGGTCACCATCACTGCCCACCGGTGCCTGGAACGGCAACATGTGGTGCGCATGCAGCTGCTGCTGGTGATGAAGCATCTGTTGCTGTTTCTGTTGCGGGTGGATGGACATATCCAGCCCCATCAATCCTCCCGAGCTCATGCTGCTCGGTAGCATTCCTCCCGGAATGCCATTCCCTCCATCCATTCTCTCTCTCTCTCTCTCTCTCTCTCTCGAATACTTGTAGGAGAACCGGGACGTAGATCTCTTTGCCACAGCTGCTATGCTCTACCTTTTCATGGGCCAGAAGGGGATTGGACCACCAATATACAGCTGGTCTTCCTTCTCAGAAAGAGCGGCGGCTAACGCAGCATCGCGACTTCTACGTCGCTGCTACTATTCCTAACCCTCGCGACCGAAGACCTCGCATAAATTAATGGCGACGAAGAGTAAATAAGTGGAGGAAAACCACGAGCAGAAATGCAATCCCGGGTGGTGCTGCCTCCACGGTTACCGTGGTGATTTCGGATGTCTCGTCCGCCTCTTCGCCTTCCTCCGGGATGTGGAGACCTGTGGGTGCCGCCGTTTTGGCTCGCCAAAGGGTACGTACGTAAGCGGTATTGCCTCCCTCAGAGAGAGAGAGAGAGAGAGGGGATTGCATGTTTCCTGTGTTCCTGTGGGTAGAGGTAGTGCGGCTCGGTGGCACACGGACAGTATGCAGACTTAGCAGCCCCGCCATACCATAATCCGCAAGTTGACTTCCATAACTACTCCAAAGCCGGAGAGCTGAAGCATTTTATGAAAGAGGAGAGATGAAGAGAGAAGATGAGAAAGCTAAACGACTTCTACTCGCTATCTGTTATTCTAATCGACAGTACACTACATCATCATTGAAATGATAGCAGAAATGATGATGATGACGATGATAATGATAATATATTCTTTTGGATGATCTTTCGAAAAGAAATCAGATTTTGACTGTTTACAGATCAGATCCTCTAATTTCGCAAGGATGAAACTGCCATCACGAATAGCTAATAAATGTTAGAATACTATAACTTTAATTAATCAAAATACTATAATTTTATTCAAAAATATACTTTTAATGGCTTTTTTGGGAAAATGTTACAGGCAAAAGATATTTGACCGAGTCAAACAAAAGGTGGGTCCAAAAAGGAAAACAGCCCATAGATTTGCCGGAGGCCGTCGCCGACGGACGGTAGTGGTTGTGGGAATCCACGTGTTTGTTGGTAGACACGTGCGTGCGAGGTGGATTTCTGCGTTGACCATTGTTTTTGTTTTATTCGGTGCCTCTTTATTTTCTTTTAAATACGAGATTACCTCAACCTTCGTGTCATCGGAATCATCTCTATCTCATCGAATGCTATGGGCTATCTCCACTGTCATCACGGACAAAACCATAAATAAGATATCGATATAATGTTTATTATGTTTTTATCTTTCAATTTTGTTCATATCATACAACAGATATATAGTAAATTTGATAGTTTTATTTTAATTGATTTTTTGATCGTTTTAAACATATTAACGTATATTATATACAATCGTATAAGATAAAATTATTCAAATATAACTTATTTAGATAGTCATTTTTTAAGATTTTTTAATTCCATGTAGTGGTATAAAATATCAATCAATACATCTGGAGCTACCCGGGTGACACATGATTGGATGGACATTTGAGTTAGTATGGTGGTTTATGTGAGTATTTATGAAAACTTTTGATCATAACGAATCACCTTGGATCCTTATGGTGCGATCATTTAGAGTTTGTAAATTTGTTTGTAATTTGCATTGCTCGTGTTTACTAAAATAATTATTTAAAGGATCATAAGAGATTTCGAAAATACTGAGCCATGCTGCAGCATGCTTATGTAAAACTAGTTAAGTCTATGATAGTAAGACCTTTATTGTCATTCTCAATGATTTCGTCCCCTTGCAAGGCCTCATTACCTTTATGTTATCGCCACTGTGAGGCCCCACTTAAGCTCTTATCAATTGCGCTCACGTCGCTAAGGCCCTTGCCTCAATTACGATCGTTAACCTTGGTGAAGGGGAAAGAGGCCAATGAGTACGATGCGACCTTGGCGGCACGACGATAACGATGGATAAGGTAAGAGTGAGGGAGAGGATGAAGGTGGTGGTTGAGGGCACCGATCATGATGGAGGCAAAGTAAGCAAGGGTGAGGGATTAGATAGTGTCACCTGCATAACAAAAGCAACAATGATGACTTTGCGATGAGGTAACCATTACATGACAAAGGTGATAAGTGGTGATAAGGAGCCACGTTGGATGGGGCGAAGGTGGGGATAATATCATCTTTTTTTTTAAAAAAAAAGTACTATACGAGAATTTAAAAAAAATGCTATGCAAGAAAAAGTGAAAACTTAAAAATTAAAAAATGCTTATAATATAATTAAATTGATTTGATCTAATTATTGTTTGATGGTCAAATCAATATTTATTTATTTTTATTTTTGGTGTAAATTACTCGTTAGGAACAAGTTTAAAGTCAAGACATATATTATGAGCAAATTTTGGTACCGACAATTAGGAATATCCGAGTGAGATGTTTAACAGGTATTTATGGGATTTTTCATATCTAGTTTCAATTAAATGGAACTCATATATTATGAGCAAATTTTGATACCGGTAATTAGGAATATCCGAGTGAGATGTTTAATAGGTATTTATGGGA